CCTTGGAGGATTTTCATTTACTTGATTTGGCTTCTGGAGAACCAGTGTGCTTGACTCAGTGCCTTGCAGTCACACACTGCCATCATCACATGACCTCCCTCTTTTGACCTTGACTCTGTTACCATGACCCTCTGGATTCCATTTGGGGCCCAACCAGATAATCTAGGATGGTCTTCCATCTGTTTACACAAATAACATTTGTAGGATCTAGGAACTGGGATATAAGTAGGATCTCTTGAGGGGGCTTATAGTTTGGATCCTAACTATCCCCTAAAGACCCATATGCTAAAGGCTCACAGCTTTTGGGAGATGGTAGAATCTTAGGGAGGTGGGCGTAGTGAAATGAATCATTTGCAACGTGCCCTTAAAGGGGATGTTGGAACCACAGCCTTTTCTTTCCATTTGTGCTTCCTGGCTGCCATGTGAGCATCTTTACTCCCAAGATGCTCTCCTCGCCAAGACGCTTTGCCTCACCACACATTCAGCAGTGGGACAAAGTGACCACAGATTAATACTGTGGGGCAAAATAAACCTTTCCTCCTTTTAAGTGATTTTCTCAGGTATTTGTCTTAGAGTGACAACCCAACTAGCATAGGGGTCATCGTTCAGCCTGCCACACTTAGGTAACTTACATTTTAGAAATTCTTGTTTTAACCCTGGGAGCAGGGTGCTCAGTAGCTACACCTTAGAATCACCTGACAAGCTTTGAATAATCAGAAGTTTGGGACTTGGACTTTGGCATCTAAAGGTCCCAGGAGGATGCTGGGAGCTAACTTGGGAGGAACTCATGGCCAGATCCTGCCCATGTTCTAATAAGCAAAGAACAGTTGGAAAGAATACAGTGAATCTTGAGGAAAATGCTCCTTGGAAACTGATGGTCCATTTCACTCCTTGACCCTTAGGCTACTATCTTGGCCTTGAACAGAGACGTTTGTGAAATTAAAGCCATGACTGTTCTAACCCTTCAGGCACTCTTGACTGTAATGCCTGTGTCAGGTGAGTAAGCCTGCCTTTACAGCACTGTGGTAGAGTGGCTTGAGCAATAAAAGCCATGGCTGTTTTGATCCCTTAGGCTACCCCAGCCTCCTTGTTAGGTTACTAGGGCTGTCTTAACAGCATCCCCAGGTGGAGTGGCTTGAGCAACTGACACTGCTTCACTGTGTTGGAGGCCAGTTGCCCCAGGTAAGGAGCCATCAGGGTTTGTTTCCTCTGTGGCAAACCCCTGGCTTTTGGATGGCCATGTTCTCCTTGTATCTTAACAGCCTAAATGCTGCTCTGACCTCAAAGGGAGTAAGAGATTTGAGCCTGTATGAATGACTGCATCCCAGGAACATGCATTCATGTTGCCCAAATAGAGTGTTCCAGTGTGAAAGGTTTCATGAAGTTAATGTAGAGAATAGTCAGTAAATCAAGGCGTTCTTCAAATACATTGAACTCAGGCGAGTCATGACGAGGCCGAGTCTCTGATGTAGGTTTCAGATTCTACCTTATGACATTCTTAGCTGCGGAGTAGGCAGCTGCTGGATTCCAAAAATTTCTACCTAGTAGTTACAAGGATATTAGAAATGTGAACTTTTCTACCCCGAGGCTCTGTGACCTTGGGTAAGAACTTTACCTGACTGAGGATCAGTTTCTTTATGTCATAGAGACAGTAAAAATTCCTTGATAAGTATCTGATGTCATGAAAGATCCCAGAGGATACTGGGAACTAGCATATCCTAGTGATGAAGGCTGCAGTACTGCTTTACTTATGATGTGCTCTTAGGCAACTCTAATTTTGGAATTTCTCTTCCTCATTTATAAGATGAGAATAATACAGTAGGGCCTAACAGTCCATAAGGTAAGTTCTGAAGTAAGTAGCACCGATCTGTGATGAGAATATCTGGTTTATCACCCAGTTAGAGCTCAAGGGCCCCCTGTGTTTGAGGGTTCATTCAGCTGTACTTTTCCATGCAGCCAGTAGGTGGTGACATTGGCCACATATTGGCTCTGCAGCCTCCAGTGGTTTTGTTCTCTGGTGTGGCTGGCAGTACAGTATTCAGTTACTACTCTTGCATTCCTTGCAAGATGAAGGTTTCCGTTAATAACAAGAGCCAGTTGGATGACTGGATGGGCTTATCTGGAGGCTATTGTGGCCAGCCTGGAGGGCGGTAGCCTCCTGCCTTCATGTCAAGTATTATCTACGGCCAGAAGGCTGAGAGGACTGTCATTCAACCGGGAGGGTATGAACTGAAGTGTGTAGCTCAAGCTGGGAACTCAAGGGGTCTGAATTTCAGCAGCTAGCCAGTTTGCAGTACTGCTTTCATGCTGGACTAGCTCATCTACACTGAAAGAGTAGTTCTAAAACAAAATTAGATTTGTGTATAAAAGCCTGAAGGTCAGTGTTGACTCTAAAATCTAAGACGCTGTGGCCCAGGGAACATCTTAATAATCATGCAAAGTAGTTGTAAGTAAAAATTCTAAAGTTTTGTTGTTGTTTTTGAGGCAGGGTCTCATGTAGCCCAGATAGGCCTGGGCTCTCTATGTAGCCGAAGATGACCTTGATCCCTGCCTCCCTGCCTGGTTTATACAGTGCTGCAGTCAAACCCAGGGCAGGCACTTTACCTACAACTGAGCTACATCCCCAGCTAAAGCCAAAATTCTTATGAGTAGCTAAATTCCCAAAGAATAGGCTAAGAGTCATTTCAAAGTTTGGTCTTTCTCTCTGTGGCCTAGTGTGAGGACGTGCACTGGATAGCCTGGGTATGTGAAATGAAAGATAAAAGCCAGGCCAGCAGGACTAGGATTACATAAGACTGTGTGATTAAAATAGTCTTAAGATGAATACCTTACATAACCCAAATGTATTGAACAAATCACTATTGTTGATTTGAAATTCTAATATATTGGTTAGTCTTTACATGTACCTATAGTGTTCAGTTACCATAGGTAACCTGTTGTAATTTCAGTAAAATACCACAAGGTGGCAGCAGTGTCAACTGGCTTAGCCGCATAAAGAAATGTGGCGACAGTTCCTTCACTACATCGCCTTATTTTTCTTGATTTGTTGAGATGTCTTCAAGAAATCGAGGGCCAGAGGGAAAGCCAACTGTAATAACTTGACTTTAAAATTATGTAATTACATTTTCAAGTAGTTCTTCGTTCTGGAACTTCTGATCTCTGGAGTCAGGAAGCTTGTTCACTTAATAGGAAGTCTTAAGTGAAACGCACAGCGGCAGTAGGTCTGAGCCTTTGCACTGAGAGAAACGCTGTGCTGGGGTCACTTTCCTTGAGGTTTCTTATAGAGCGCCATCTCAGTTGCTGTCATTTTTTAAATCCTGTTTGTTTTTGGAGGTCAGCTTAGGAAATTTTTCCTAATGGTTTCTGTTACTTAATTTTTAGTTTAACACTTTAATATTCGTCCTTGTAATTGTTCTTGTTTGTTTTGTAGATGTTAAATTAGGTAACTTTGTTTAAAGATTTGTTTTAATTTTATGTGTATATATGTTTTTCTTGCCTACTACAAGTGTACCTGATGCTCACAAAGCCAGAAGAGGGTGGAAGATCCCCTGGAACTGGAGTTAGAAACAGTTGTGAGCTGCCATGTGAATGCTGGGAACTGAACCCCAGTCCTCTGCAAGAGCAATAAGTGTTCTTAACCCCTGAGCCATCTCTCCAGCCCCATAGATTAACTCTTAAAGAATCAGATTTCTTTCTCTACTTTTTTGAGGACAAGATTTCTAGGCTAAAAACTGAAGTAAATTGCTTGAATTAAAACACCTTTCGTCCCAGCACTTGAGAGACAAAGGCAGGCAGATCTCTGTGAGAGCAAGGCCAGCCTCATCTACACAGTGAGTGCTGGGCCAGCTCGACTAAAGGGAGATCCTCTCTCAAAAATACCAAAAGAAAGAACTTGAAGAGATGGCTCAGAGGTTAAGAGCACTAGCTGCTCTTGCAGAGGTAGACCTAGGTTCAATTCCCAGCACCCACATGGTGGCTGACAACCATCTAAATCAACGCCTTCTTCTGACCTCCGGGAACATTGCACAACATGGGTACACTTAAATACATACCTACATACAGGCAATACATTCATACACATAAAATAAAAATAATAAAATTTTAAAAACAGTTAAATTTTTTTGAATTGCTTTTTTAAAAAATATTTTATTATTTTCATTTCATGGATATGAGTGTATTGGCTGCATGTATGTGAGTGCACCAGTGTCGTGCAATGCCGTGGAGGTCAGAAGAGGGCTTCGGATTCCCCTGGAACTGGAGTTAAGGATGGTTCGTAGCTGCCATGTGGGTGCTGGGAATTGAACCGGGTCCTCTGCAAGAACAGTCAGTGCTCTTAACCGCTGAGCCACCTCTCCAGCCCTGAATTGCTTATTTTTAATATATGATTATACAGTGTATATTAATTATTGTGTTTGCTCTGTGTACATATGAATTACATATAAATGACAGTTTGATTTAATAACCATATTGCAGGCTCACATCATTGTCAGTCCAATCTGTCATCCACCTTCCCTTCCAGTGCTATAATGGTAATGACATAAAAAAAGAAAACTTTCCTTTTCCTGGAGCATGTGGTGCAATGGCATGACAGACAAGCAAACCTAAAGTTTTCTATCTCAGAGGTTCTCCTAGCTTTCTTGTAATGTTATCTGGTGCAGAAAATAGCCTTGATCTGAAAGATCTTTCTCTACCCACTTATGCTTTCTGTATTTATTTGCAGTTCAGTCCCGAATAAGTGCGAATCAGTCTAATAAGGTGCCAACGCTGTGGTTCTTCCAGAATATAGGAAACCATTAAATGGGGAGGGGGGGGGAGGTTGTTTGTTGATAGAAGGCCTTTGACTATTTGTTGATTGTTCACTAATTTTTAGAATTTTAGAATTGTTTTCTTACAGGGTTTGGGAGGAATGAAGAACAACCTGGGTATATATAGGCTTGAACTAAGCGTTTTGTTCAAATGAAGCATGATTCAATATGAACTTCCCTCCTTTTCTCCCTTAGATTGGAATTATTGGTGGAACAGGCTTGGATGATCCAGAAATTTTAGAAGGAAGAACTGAAAAATATGTGGATACCCCGTTTGGCAAGGTAACTGAGAGAGACACAGTGACTTTGAATTGCTTCTTACTGACTTGAATTTTAAGTTAGCAACAGTTGGTTTAGTTTGGCAGCCTAGAGATGTCTGGTCCATGTCATCAAAAGCCACATCATCAAATAATGCAATCTGATACACTCTTACGGACACCTTCTCACCTGATGAAACCTAGTGAGCAATCCTGCCACTAGGTTCCATCAGCTGAGAAGGTGTCCTTAAGAGTGTATCAGATTGCATTATTTGGATGACATGGTTTTCGAATGCACAAGTAGCTTCTCAATTTGTGTTGCTAGAAGTTAGGACTCATTTCAAACAGTGACTTCAAATCTGTTTCTGATTTAGAGGTTGGGTCAGACCACAGTAATTTAGCAAATAGGCTGATGACTAATAGGATGAAGAATCATTACAAAGTGGCATTTTCTGGGTGAGCCTGGCCCGGAGGAGGAGTACTGGGTATCCCGAACACAGTTAGGTTAGTAGAATTGGATAGGACAGGCTCCTTGTTCTCTGCCTCGGCCAAGGTTAGGTACCTACATACTCCCAATTCTACATTACCACTTCCAAGCATTGTAGGTCAGCCCTGGTCCTCTTAGGAGCATCCTGCATTCCAGCCAGGCCCTTCTTTCCAACATAGTTCATAGATTGACCTTGTGTCTTCCAAGTCCTGTTCTCATCTTGGCCTTCTTAGCCTCATGCTTTCTTAACTGCCTTCTTTCTCAGGACCTTTCCCTACATCACCTCAAATCATCCCTTGACCTTCTTAGGCTTGGATGACACAGGCAGACTGTTCCACCACTGAGGGGTCCTGCCTCACAGTGGCCTCCTAACCTTTCAACCTTTCACTCTCACACCTATTCTTGAACCTTCCAAACACCCTTGGCACATCCAAATTGGATTAGTATACCATCAGAGCCCCCTGGGGCTTGCTACAAATAGACCTTATAAATGGCATGCACCGCCCCCCCCCACAACCTTCAAAGCTTGCTGAGTCTATGCCAGTGGAGAGCTCAATAGATAGATATTTATGGATGACTCTGTTGATCAGTAAATGTCTAGATTCCTTTCTTTAAGGTGTATATTCAGACTCCAGATTTCCACCAATCTGCTGTGGCTTAACAATTCAAATGACAGCTTTTTAAGAAATGTTTATACATATGTTTTAAATCACTGAGTTGTAACCATTTTTTATTGCTTGCAGCCATCTGATGCCTTAATTTTGGGGAAGATAAAAAATGTTGATTGTGTCCTCCTTGCAAGGTAAAATATTTAAGATTTCTGAATATCACTTCTAAATTTAACTTAAAATGTGGAAAAAGTAATGATGAGGTATGAGTTCTTTTGTGTTTGTAGAGCAAAACTATTTCAGTTACTTTTAAGTATTCAGTTCAAAAACAGGTAAATAAATACCTGTTGAGCAGGTTATAAACAAGCTCGCCAAGCTTGTTTCTGATTTCTGCATTATCATGTACAAAAGAAATTTGACCTTGAAAAAGCCATTCTGTGATAGAACATTACATGTTTTAGGCTTCTATCAAATATTGTTTATATATATATATATATAAGAATGTCATGTAACAAATGTGAATTTTTAATTTTAGAAATTGAGTTTTCACAACTATTAACTGGAGTTTCTCTCTGCTTGTGGGTATGGCTTATGTGTTTCAAGTACTCAAAGAATTTTTACCAAACACATTTGTCCAATAGATTGAACTCCTTACATGATGGATACCAGTGAGAAAGACAGACACAGGCATCACTTTGGGCTGGATTGTAGTTACAAAGGTGGACACCAAAGGGGCATACATAGTTTGAGGTTCTGAGAGGTGCTATAAGTTGGAAAAATAAGCTCATTAGTTAGATGTGACTTAGATAGAGTGGTTAGAGTAGGTATCTCCTGACCTTGGAGGTGAGATCTAAAAAGGGTCAAGGGCCTGAGCAGCACTGAGCATGGCAGAACAGTAGAAAGGCAAGTGAGCCCTGGTCAGGAAGGCCTGAATATGAATCAACAGAGGGTAATTTCTCACAGTTCTGCCAGCAAGAAGTCTGAAATCAAGGGAGTGGGCCGCTGATCCTCAGAGGGTCATGAGGGAATCTCAGGCCTCTGGATGGCCACTTGCTGTCTGTACATGTCTGTGTCTCAATTTCTCCATCTAATAAAGGTAACACTTGTTACATTAGAACCCACCCTCCCCTCTCCATTTTAATTACCTTTATAAAAATCCTATCTCCAACTATGGTACACACCTTTAATCACAGCACTGGGAGGTAGAGGCAGGTGAATCTCTGTAAGATCAAAGCCAGCCTGGTCTTCATAGTGAATTCTAGCTGGAGCTACAGGGAGACCCTGTATCAAAAAGCAAAAAAACACCTATCTCTAAGCTAAGAGTTTTGGTGAAACAGTCCATCCTATAACAATGGCCATGAAAGAGCTGATCAAAGCACATTCTTGTCATCCTAAAGCACTGGGAATTCTCATAGATTAAACATGTTTATATTTACTTGGATGATGAGGCAGAAAGGACTCACTTGGTTTCTTTGTCTCATTGGCACGTCTTGTTTTCTGTGTAATGGCAGAGGTGAGACCAGATGCCTCACTCTGGGATGTTTTCACATTCCACAGAATAGACACAGTATATCTTCAAGAGTGTGACTTGCCTATTCTTAATAAGAGAATGAATCTATGGAATATGACTGCATTTTAACATTAACTATTCTGTACTTATTATAGGCTAGTTATTAACTGACCTTAAAAGTGATGGTGGGGGCCGCTGGAGAGATGGCTCAGCGGTTAAGAACACTGACTGTTCTTGCAGAAGACCCGGGTTGGAATCCCAGCACCCACGTGGCAGTTAACAACTGTCTGTAACACCAGTTCCAGGGGATCCGACATCCTCTTCTGTACTCCATGGGCATTACATGACATGGGTGCATTTACCAACATGCAGGCATAACACTCATATATATAAAATAAAAATAATAAATTTCTTTAAAAAGGTATTGGTGGGTAAAGCTATGCATTAGTTTTCTTTTGTAATGAATAAAACGCCCTGATCACTTGTCTGTCATTCCACTCTCCTTCCTCAGACATGGGAGGCTGCATACCATCATGCCTTCAAAAGTTAACTACCAGGCAAATATCTGGGCTTTGAAGGAGGAAGGTTGTACACATGTCATAGTGACCACAGCCTGTGGGTCCTTGAGGGAGGAGATCCAGCCTGGCGACATTGTCATTGTGGATCAGTTTATTGACAGGTAAGCAGTCACTTCAAATGCATTGGCCTTGTAGCTGGCTGACTTAGGTGCACGATGTGTGAGAAATGGGGAGAAGAGGGGAGCAGAACAGACTTGCTTTAAGCTTTTCATTGAAGAGTTTTATTTTTTTAATTTAACTGACAAATAGTAATTATATATTGATGGATAAATTTTATTTATCCTCACATTGTCAATTTTGGTTAGATCATTTTATATATATATATAGTCACACCATGCTGTACAATAGATTTCAAAAGCTTACTGCTCCATTTAACTGAAGCTTAATGTCCTTTAACCAATATCTCCCAAGCTTCTGGTAAACATCATTTTATCTTCTTCTGCATCTGACTTTTTAGATTTCACATGTGAATTCATGTTGTCTTTCTTAGTTCACTTAACAAAGATGTCCTCTAGTTTCAAAGAATATAATTTATTATCAGGTCTCCACTTCTATATTGCTTACATGTCACTGATTAAAATTTTAAATACTAAATTTGTGTCCACAAAGTTTTATTCAGGTCAGAGTTGGTTTCCTGAGCTATCCTGGCTCTCGGGGGTAACACATTGGGACTTGAAGGTATGAATGAAGGGACTTCGGATATGCCCAGCAGTAGAAAGACAGAGCAGGGCCCCTCTTAAGGTGCGCACCATTGCAGTACCTGTGACCAAGCTGAGTGCTGAAGACTTGGAGTACCAGCTTGCTGTGCAGATGTCCTCATCACACTGTAGTTTATGCTGGATTCTATGCCTTGGCGCTCCTAGACCTTTTCCTGTGCAGCTGCACTTGGGCTCCCTGTTTCCTTTACAGTTACAAAATTCAGTATTTCAGAGCATCACAAGGTCCCTGACTCTGCTATTGCACTGCAATGCCTTTCTACACCGCACCTCTCTGCTCAGTTACATGCCTATTTCTTGGTTTCAATCCTGTCGAAATGCTGGGAAGTATCTTTAATAGCTACTTTCCCATCTCTGAATGCTTTTATTGTGAATGTAGTATGTTGGCTGAAGAGTCTAGCAGCAAACATCAGGGAATATAATGTCCCATGAAATCTCAGTTCTCTTACGGTTTATAGCAGTGATTAGAAATTTAGATATATTAAGTTTAATAAGACTTTCTTGTGTACTTTTTAATGTGACCATTTGAAATTTGAAAATTAAATGTATAGTTCACATCATATTTCTATGAGTCTGCCTCTTGGGAATGAAACTTGAGAAGTCCTTGGCTGGGGCTGGTAAGATGGCTCAGGAGGTAGAAATGCTTGCCACACAGGCCTACTGACTGGCGTTTAATCCCTGGATCCCATGTAAAGGTGAAAGAAAACTGCAAAGTTGTTCTCTGACCTCCACATGTGTGCATTCCATGCATGTACCTGCACTCAAACACACATATTTTACATACACATAGTACTAATCAACAAAAATCCTTGGTTGAGCCATGAGGCCTCCAGTTAACCAGGCTTGCTCGTATGAAATTTGAATATCTTCTAGAAGGGAATCCAATGAGCAGATGGTGACTGTGCAGTTGTTAGCCTGAGGCTCCCACAACTACACCCACAGCCTCAGTTTGTTTACCAGAACCTCAGCCTGAACAGCCACCCAGTGGATTCTCATGCTGTAGGGTGTGGGCAGGAGCTCAGAACTCAGGGCAAGGAAAGAGTCAGGAAACCCAAAATGGGAAATGAGAACACAGCGTGTTTCTTTGTTGAAGTTCTAGAGTAAGACACACTTTGCTTTCTACAGGCCCCCTACTGACAAATGAAGAATGATTGTGTCCCCTTTAAATGCCTGAGGCATTTCCTTGCATGCCTGCAACAGCACCAGGATGAATTACACAGCCCAAACACTCAGGACGCACTCTAGCTGGCATGTTTCCTGCTTCCTCCAGCAGGGTCACACTCAGGACTCCCCTTTTCTCAGTCCAGATGTTTGACTCTTTATTAGTTGGATGGGGGTGTAAAGAATGACGTTTTCTGAGAAGCTCCTAGCCTATAGATCTCTTTCAAGCACTCTATGTTTTATTACAGTGGAATTCTAATGTGTCTCAAAAGGACTCAAATCAGAGTCATTTTTAAATCTTACCGCCCTGTAAGGTGTTCATGGCACAGCTCTTGTGAGACATTCTTCATATACCAAAGATTGGAACTAAGGATTCATACCATTCATATTGAAAACCCATGAGTTTTGTCCTCAATAGATTTCCTTGGTGATTTAAGAAGCATAATTACACTTCTTCCTGCTGTCTTGGGTTTGATAGATCCATTTCTTCTACCTTGTAGAAAGTGTCCAGTGTCAGAGCCACAAGTCATTAGACTGTTGAAATAGAGCCGAATTCAAGCTGCGATGTGCTTGCTTTCTTCCTCCCTCCCTCCCTCCCTTCCTTCTTTTTTAACATAAGACCATTTAATTACATTAGTTTCCCTTGAACCCATCAAAGACATTTAATGATTGTTTTTGTTGGCAGAAGACTTCCACTAATAATTCCATGATTTCTTGCCAGACCTCTTCTGATTGGCCTCCCTGGAGCTAGCCTTCTGGTTTTTAGTGTCTGCTCTAACCATCCCCAGCTTCTCATTTATAATTGTTATATATATTTTCTGTATATTGCATTTTTAGGGAATTGATCAAGAAAATCAGGACTCTGTATACAATATTCTTAGCCTCTCGTGTGAAGGGTTGCGTAGCCGATCGCACTAGGCTGGTGGTCTTCAGCACATACATCATTCTTTTTCTTGGTAGTGATTCGGCAGTCTGTTTGAATAGGGAAAAGAATTGGACCTTTTATTTGCCCTAAGAAAATCTTGTCAGGCATTTCTATTTTAGAAGAATCTTACAAGAGTACACAAGATATATAATTTAGCGATTGTCTTCTTTGGTATGTCATCTTGTATGTATGGGGTGAATTTAGCTTTCATTCTGTCAAAGCAGCATGCTTTGTATGGGGAGAGTAGACTTCACAGAGCTCCGCTCCTAGGACTCTGACTTTGCTGGGTGAATAAAGTCGGCTCAGCTGCCCTCAGGGCTCCCTTGGGATTTACATTTCCTTTTCATCTTGGTATATTCTGATCTTCAGTGCCGCTTTGGCACCCATAGTTCAGAGAACAGTTGCATAAACCACTGAGTTATTGCTCACATAACATGGACTGAGTTATTGTTGGTATATTCTACAGCGCCTTCCTCTCCAGGTGGTAGCAGTTCTTTTTAAAAAGTGCTTTGAAGATGAAGACACTTCCTTCCAGCCCAGCAAGATTATGATAGGCATTTTATGAAGCCAGATGCTTGTGATACCTTCTTCCTGCCTGTGGCTTGGCAAGGGACTTGTATAACCTACCCTGGTTCTAAGAGAAGACTTGGAGAAATTTTGAAGGATGATTATACATTTGTGTGGCTTCCCCTGAGAACTTGCCTGGCTTTTCCTCAACGGCCGCGATCATCAAGGCATGATGTATTTTGTTGTCTCTTCTTGTGTTTTCTGCAGCACTTTCCCTCCCTGTTCTAACCTGATTATTGTTAGATACTGTCACAGATTCTTTTGTTTGGGTAGAAGAACTGTGGTGGGGCCATGCCATGCAAGAGGGGCAGTGACTTCCATCTATTTCTGTGCATATCCTTTCTCCTCGGTACCATCAATCTTGGTTACTTTCAGTATTCAGTTCATCATGATAGAACAATTGGAACTGTAAACTCTTTGGAAAGTTCTTTATATTATGCTTTTTTTTAAAAAAAATCAAATTAGTAGGACCCACATCTATGACTCAAAATGTGTCAGAATGAAACAAGCATACCTGTAAGGAGAAAAATGAGCTTTATTTTTTTAATGGTAGGTTTTATCAGGAATGTTTTGTAGAGAAGGATTTTGTTGTTGTACAATGGAAAATCACCACCAGAAAAATGAACATTAAAAAGGTATGATTCCCAGTGCCAAGTGGTTTCTTTAGAGTGTGGTTCACTGTTGGCACAGAGCACCTCCAGACCCTGATTGGGCACTGCAGAAAGAAGGTAATGGGAGGGCTGCCAGCTGAGCGTTGAGGATGTCCAAATGTTCTCATGGCTCTGCCTTCAAATTCCTTTGTCACTCGGTGCCCTCATCTGCTAATGAGGGTACTGGGTTGACTCCTAAGAATTGGGGTACCCCCCCCAGAAGATTATTTCTTTCAATTCATCTCTTGCAGGAAGAATTAGGAGAGCTCTGGGTTCACTTTTGTGATGCATTCTGACTCATCAGGAAAGTCCCGCAGAAAACACAGGCTGAGGGATGGATTATTGCCTGCTTATTTCCCCCTCCCAGAGACATAGCCCTGCCTTGGGCTTCCCCAATGAGGTCATCCTGTAGAGCAGTGGTCCTGTGGGAGTATGCTCTGGTAGCCAGGCCCATCTTCATCTTGGGTATAGATAGGTTCTGATGATTAGAAACAGATAAAGGTAATGAGCATTGTGGCTTACACCTGTAATCCCAGCCCTCAAGAGGCTGAGACAGGAGGATTGTGAGTTTGAGAGCATCCTGAGTTACATAGTCAGGCCCTGTCTCAAACAACAAAAAGAAATGGACTTCCATGATGAAGACTTGGGGGACCTTTGCATTGCTCTGTCCACCTCCCGTTAAAGGCGAGTACAGATGCTTCCGTATTCCTTGCCTGCCTTCCTCACTCTGAGCTGAGCATGTTGTCTTCAACTTTGTAGGGAAAATATATTATTGGGCATCACTCACTTGTCTCTCCTTTGCCAGTAACCTGCTTCCTGGTTCTTGTCGTCTTCCTTCCCTAGCTGATCTAGTAAGGTCAACAACCCCTCAGGAAAAGATTCATCCTCATGTTCTGTGGAACATAGTTCTGTTACTGCCACTTCACAGTGTGACCATGTGTTCTATCATTAAAACTAAACTACCCATTCTGAATTCCTGCTGAGTCCACAGTTAGATACTTGCTTACATGCTGTGTTCACCTCCGTAGTTTATTCTTCAGGAAACTTAGGTGCAGAAGTGCTATCACATGCTAACAGGTGGG